GTAAACGTGAGAGAGCAAAGAAATAACTTGATGCTGGGACTCGCATTAAATGGCCTAGGATCCGCGTACTCCCTCCCTCTTTGATAGCATCATACATTTCATTTTGCTTCTCTAGCATTTTCTGATTCGATATGCACAGTATCTGAAAAATCATTAATAAAGTTTTGTCCAACACCACATTTTTTTTGCATCACATGACATCACATGTTCTTTGATTTTAAAAAATCGCGTTTTGCTTTTTCACTAAAATAACTAAAATGAGGGTAAAACTAGATCCGCAATCCTTACGCAATCGTTTACTAGTACAAATAATAAAAGAAAAGGGAAATACAGTTTCCATAAGTGAAAAGTCCGAGATTGCAACAGCTTTTTACGAAGAACTTAAATTTCGTCACGACCAACGAGACCAAGCAGAACAAGTTTTTAGAAACACGGTCGAATGCCTTTATCAATATGATTATCTGTCTTTATTGACTATCCATCTTGTGTCTAGCCTAGTAGATGATGATGTAGGAGAAAGCGAAAACGAAAGTGAAATTGATAATGATGAAACTGGCAATGAATCTGACAAGAGGTTTGACCTGTGTTTGTAGGTAATAAATTTATGCGGTGAGATTACTTATGTCTTTATTTTCTATTTTTCTCATAAGGAATGACATAGAAGTAGAAAGTGAAAGCGAAAGCGAAAGCGATTATGATACAACTGATGATGAATTTGACGAGAGGTTTATTCCCTTATTCTAAGTTGTACTTTTTCTCGAATTTATACTGAGTCCCATTTTAGTTATTGCACAGCTGAAATTATCAATATTTCCGATCACGAGGCAGTAGATCAACACAGTGAACTGAAGAAATGGGTACTTGAAAATCGAGTTCCTGACATAACTGATAAAGAAAAGGATACAATAGACAACTATGTATTAGATGTATTTGAGGTAGATGTATTAACAGTAATATCACTGCAATCATATAACTATAATAATGTTCGTTTTTTTGTCGCAATCTTTTATCACTAGCGTAACGTAGAAGGTACTATGAAGTCTATCAAAGAGAAAAAAGTTGACCTAAATCCAAAGGATGCTTCGTTCGTGAAAAGAATTTTGGATACATGGTAATATTGTCAGCTGATCCTCGATTAATCCTTAATGAGTTTACTTAATATTATCCTAAATTCTTAGGGCTTATAAGTGGAAATCAGAATTCAACGAAACCATGAGCGAGCCAACGTATACAGCAACATGGATTGCACCAGATTTCGAAATTTTGAAAAGCAAAGATCCTGGCTTATTTGATAGCTCATGGTGCGAAATGATCCATCCATCATCAAAATGGCGAAGACGGAACGTGTACAAGTCCAATAAGAAGACCGGTAGGAAATGCGATGGTATACTTTTCATAAAAAGTAGCGCAATAGAAAGATTAGTGTTCGAAAATGTTTGCTCCCCGAAAAAGGAGAAGCTTCCAAAGTATTACAAGTACGTTAAGAGATTTCATTTTCAGAAATGTCTAAATCACTTTCTAATAAACCATATCTTGAAAATTTCAGAGATTTAAATAAGTCATTTCGTAATGCTGTCGATACTCTGTGCAAAAGATTTTGGACAAATAGGCAAGGAGATGTGGAAATCTCCAGGAAATATAGTGAATTAGTTTATATCGTGCACAGTTAAGTTTTTAAAATTGCATTGCCTTCTCCTTTGGAAATAGACCTTTAGTGTTGATTTACTTTCTAACAATAAATTAGAAAATCAAGGTGAACTCTGGAGGATATGCTTGGCCGGCAAAGACAAATTTCTTGCTGAAAGAATTTACAAGTTGGAAATACCTTGGAAATTTGAAGATGACTGGACGAAATTAGCGGATGTTTGTAAAATGTTGTTACTAATAGAAGTATGTATCATCATTATTCACACCGAGACTTTAATGAGTTTTTTCTAATTGTGTTATTCCAGAGTATTTTCAGGTGTAACGATGATTTTTATCATGATTATACGAAATCTGTTCAAAAAAAGAATATCGTGCGTGTAGCGGAATGGTTATCATTAAACCCAATCTCTCCACAAAAACCACAAAAGGAAAAGAAACTCAAAAATAAGATTTAAAGCTTCTGTTTTTTTCTTTCTATTTAGCTAGCTGTTGCATAAAAATATAGTATACTTTTTTTTATCGCTATATAAAAACCCGCTAGACAAGGATCAGTGTTCGGAATAGATCGCGAGCCTATGTGCCGGTCTCACGGCGGTCCCCTAGCCTGGCTTTTTATGTAGTTCTCAATTTTTTTTCTTACTGCAATCAACTATGTAAAAACCCGCTAGACAAGGATCAGTGTTCGGAATAGATCGCGAGCCTATGTGCCGGTCTCACGGCGGTCCACTAGCCTGGCTTTTTACATAGTTTGACTTTCCATTTTTTAGTACACTAAATCAAAGAAATTTCAATTTAGCGAATAGGAACATTCATGATTTTAGGGCTATAATGCGATTTATTTTCTGTATTAATAAACTGACATTTGCATTTGAGTATAATCTTGGTAAAAGTACTATAAATCGCGTAAAAGATTGTATAAATTTCAGGTGTTGACTTATCAGTTGTACTAGCACTGGGTAATTGGACTAGCAACTCAACTTAGAAGTTTTACCAACGTGAAATTTCTTTAATGCTACAGAAGAACAATATTTCTCAGCATGTCTTAAATGAAGCTATCTTGTCAAGCAAGAACTGATTTTATTTATCGTTAATAATAGATTTGTTTTAGTTATATAGATATGAATCGTGTTTAGAATATTCCTCCATTGATGTCAAAACCTGTTGCATTAATGCAACGTAGTGCAAGTTCGCCTGAAATTACCTTAGATCTTCGGGCAATAAATCAATCAATCACAGGAAGAATTAATTCTCAAGCTTAGCTTTGAAGAATTGGATTGATGAATACTGGGATTCTGTCTGGGAAGACATAAAGAAAGAGAGAGATTTAATATCTTTTGACTGGTAAAATTATGGCTGAGAACAATAAAATTATGGCTGAAAACTTTGAGCTTAAGGCCAGAGTTGTGAAATTGGAAGATATGCAATTGCAAAACGAAATAGTTAAAACCTTATTATCTGTACTGTGAAAACGTGATTATTTATTAACGCTGGCAAAAGTGATCAGCAATACAAATCATAATATTTCTAGCTGATCTGCCAGATGTGACGCAACTCGTGATATAGGTGGTAAAAATAGTATCACTATAGTCTATAGATGGATTTTGCACGCAAAACTGTATCTAATAAAATGTTACATTCTGACTTTAAACATATTATTAATAGATTACCTGAAAGTCTTGTCAAGAGAGCGTGCGAGAGACTCTTATACCATTCTAAAGATCCTATTACATTAGAATCTATTTCTGGAAAGTCCAAATGAATTGAATCTTATTTGAGACACACATTAGAGATTTATGAGAATTCCTTAAATAGGAAACGCAAAAATATGACTCAGAAAAATTACTACGTCCTCGAAGTTGGCCAGAATGTAATGTATTTCCAGCATTACCATATGTATGTGTTTTAGATAGTGAAATTCAAACTGATAGTATCCCTTATAATCATGAGGAAGAAAATAATCACCGAGTTATGAATGAACCTAAAGTCTTATCTCAACATCTGCCCTTTTTCTCATGAATTCGAAAAAAGAAAATCTATCCTGGGCAGATTGGCTATCTCCTGTAGATGCATAGCATCAAAGGATGGATATTACGCTACAAGGTCAAGGATTTGAAGATGCAGGTACAGGAGGCAGAAAAAGAGCTAGCACCTATAAAGTCAGATTCTATTCATTAGTTGAGACATTTTTTTCAAAAATTTGATCCCATCTAGCTTGTATCATGTGAGGATGGTTTGGAGGTACTGTTAAATCAAAGACAATAAAATTGCGATCAGTCAAATAGTTAACGACATCTTCATATATACTACGCCAATCAAAAGTATATAGGCGAAGAATACGGGCTAGTTCATCAGAAGTAGAGCCATTAAAGAGTACAATATAATTTAATTCTTTCCTTATTATCTTCGGACAGTCAAAAAAGCTCTGTGTGATGTACATACTACTAATATTTTTATGACGCCCTTCAGTAAAATAAGGAACGATTTTCTTCTGGACTTTCTTTGGATCAGCGCATACATCTTCGAATATAGCCACTTTACCTCTTTCTGAAGAGAATAAATCCAGCTTTGGAATTTTATCAGACTTCATAGCCACTTTACCTCTTTCTGAAGAGAATGAATCCAGCTTTGGAATTTTATCAGGCTTCATAGCCCGAAATGTGATATCTTCACGATATGGTTTTAGACTATTCACAATTATCTGATAACAAGATTTGAGATACAAGTATTTTGGCTCCTCGAGGTGGTAGCCAATCAAAAGAAGATCATCATTTTTAATATACCGTGTCCCCCCTTTTTTACCTTTAAACATTCGATAAAGCTTATTCCCCAATAATAGGTTCACAACTTCGTTAGTTTTTCCTGAATTTGTACGACCACTGATCAGAAGTGTGAAAGGCCATTGAGGAGTGGAGTTCAATCCGTTGAATCTTTTTGCATCTTTAATCTCATCAATATGGAGAACAATTCTATCTGCCCGATCAAGCTTTTTGACTTTATGTTTTTTATGATCTTTCATATTGCTTAATATCATACTTTAAAAATATATTATGAAATTTTCAGACGGGTCATTGTGGAGCCAGCTCGCTTAACTTGGAGAATTATTCAAGAACCCTTTCTCAATTAGCGTATGCTTAATGTAAGAGAAAAGGTCACATGTATATGGCACTTCGATAAGACATATACCTCGTTCCTTGCATATATTTCGCTTTTTTTGATCTCTGATTTTTTGTTGCTCCAAATCTATCTGGCCTCTTCTATGAAACATTGAATTAAGACTATAGTGTTGCCGACCATGGAATTCGAATGCTAGTTGTAGTTCTTCGTTATACCCATCAAGTTGCATTCCATCCAAAAAATTCAGCTTGCGTGATGGAAATTTCTTGCCTAACAGATCCTCAAAAATATATTGACACTTGCGTTCACCGCTAGTATGATGACAAAGAGGGCACCACTCAAATTTCTTCATGATGTATTTTAATGGATACTCCCATTGATGTGCACCATCCTCATAAGACCAAAGATAAACATTATGTCCATTTATTTCTCCAGTTTTTCCTAGACATTGACCATTACGTCTTTGAGCATAACTAATAGCTTGGTTTAACTCATTATTGATAGGAGAAACATGAACGAAATTTACAGATAGTATACTTTGAGGTGGATATCCAACCTTTTCTGGATCATCTATTAACATAAGTTCTTCTCACACAAACCCCCGCTTTAGTGAAAATTCTCTATCATCGAGATAATAAAGCACAGGTTCATTTTTAGATACTACTATTTTTCAGACTTTATGAAGATTTGGTGACCATATAGGATCAGTTATGCGCTTCTGATTCTCCATACCCCTTTCCCATTTCGCATTAGCAAGAAGATAGCGAATAGTATTACCTTTCTTTAAGGTTTCTTCATTCTTTCCAACAGGACGCTTGGATTTTATAGATAGTCTAGACTCGATTTTCTCTAATAAAATGGCCACTGAAGTCGCTAATCCCCATTTTGAAGAACCTGGTTCTCTAATGAGACGTGTAGGATAGTTATTCAGGTAATCAATAGCTTTCGGTAAATGCCTAACCCATGCTCTTATTTGTCTTGAATCAGAAGATATAGACTCAACAACATACTGGATCTTATATAGAATTTTTGAGAATATCTGATTGAAACGCTCTACAATTGCAGTTTCACGATGACTATATGGGCCAATTATTCGAATTATTACATTATGCTCTTGCATTAGACGAGAAGTTTCTCCCATCCATTCTTTTCCATTATCACATTGTAGAAGCTTTGACCATATTAATGGATTATTTCGACTCACATATATTCTCCTAAACGCCTTAGCAACTTCATGGCACTCTTTGACTTAAGCGGAACTGAAGCTTTAAATCTTGAGGCACAGTCTACTATATTAAGTACTGCTTTATAAGTCCTACTTCTGTAACGATCATAGGTCAGAAATAATATATCGCATTTATGGACACAATTTAGTCGTGTTATTCGTCCATAGCTGAATCTGGAAACATGCTTAGAAAGGCACTTATAAATTTGATATGATTCTTGTTGATTCAACCACTCATCCACAGCTTGAAGTCTGAATCGATACCCCTCTTTTTTACACGCATTTCT